ATGTAGCTTTATCCCATTATATACTCTCTAAAATTACTTGATTTGCACCAAGATCCCGTTTTCGTTTGTCATTTTAGATGCTCAGGTCTTCACGAGACAATAAATGTGATTAAAATGCCTAGGCATTTATGCAGGACGTTGATTTTGGTCACTTGCCTTATAAGACTCTGACCTTGATTATCTTTTTGTTTAATGACGTGCAATATTGACCAATGCGCTCCTCACGTTTCCACTCTAGGTACATTTCTGTTGAATTGTGATTATTGGTTTTTAAGTGGACACAAGAGCTGTTTTTGTTGATCATACTTTGTAATTTTAATGGAAATTTTCGGGAACTGAGTCAGCAGATACTTTCTTAGAAGCTTATAAAATTTCAAATGTGGCCAAAAAGATAAATGTTAGAAAATAGATTTGCAATAGAATGGAAGCTAGTGTGTTACTACTGCTAATTTTGATTGAATATTGTTTTATTTTTCTGTTTTATTTTGAACTCCTGTCTGAATTTCATTTATCTAAATTTAAAAAATAGGTCATTCATGACCAAACAGTACCAGTAATAATGCGAGAGAGTCTAGAAAATCTGCACTAATTACGCTGGGAATGGCAATTCACTGTTTATGAAATTATACGTCGTATGATCCCCAAAGCCTTAGTCGTAGGATCTTCAAGCACTTCATGGGACATTTTGCAATCTATCCTTATATGTAATAAACTTGTTGTCCCAACACCTCAAGTTTTTCTAGAACATATCAACAAACCCACAAGACAGACTGAAAAAAAAACTTTACACCCATAGACGAAATATAATCATAATTGTTACGCGTGCTTTGCCAACAAAACGCGCTGTACAATGTAATTTTTCTTAGGTTGAAATCGAAGGTCATATTCTGGATACACAGAGTTTTTTAGCTAGGCCTATGTGAACGTAAAAGAAGATATTAGGAGTTGCTGTATCCGTATTCGAATCAATTTAATGTACATTCAGCAAACTTTTTGAAATAATGATTGCCCAGTGTATTAAAAACAGTAATTTGTGTTTTGTGAATTTCGAGAATAGGTATTCAAGTGCAGTAAGTATTGAAAACATCAAAAATCGTTCCATCAAACACATTTTGTCCTGTAAATGTCAGTTTTTTTTCAGTTTATAGAATCCCCACGCGTGTTAAGGTAGTTTCGTAACATTGAATTTTTCCTATCATGTGATTAAGGTCTTGACGCAGTAAGCTATTAACGAGATGAGTATAAAATGTGCTTGTGGTTGTGCCGAGGAATTCTACACCATTACTTTTAAGGATTTTTTCTCTATTTTGAAAAATACTCGGATTAGCCTATTAATCAGCGGGCTTATAGGAAACCGGGCCATCTGTATGGCCTTGTGTATTCACGCGATGAAATGCGCCGGTCGAAAGACTCTAATGATAAAAAATAAAAACATTATAATGGAAGGAAAACTTGGAAGAAGCTGAGCGCAATTGTAAACAACTCATTGTAGCACTTTCAGCTTAATTCTCTCTTTGAAACAAGTTTTTCGTTTTGTATAAAAATATTAACAGCCTAAGTACTTCATATTTAAAAGCATGATTGAAAATTTCCAGTAATTTTGTTCAAGAATATTATCATGAAAACACTCAAATTGTATTCTTCTTATATAGCTCGATTTTTCACTGTCTGTTTGAAGAAAAAACGGTTGTATGAATTTCAGAGGAGTTAGACTATTGAACGCCACAACCAACAACTTTGAGAAACGATTTTAGTAGGCATCGACTAAAAGAGGTTGTTATCATCCAGTCATCAGTATTGGCCGCATTTGCTATTATTTTGCTAAGCACGTACTTGTGAAAATGAAAAGTAAAATTCAAAAGCATCGGACTAAGGAAAGATCATTGAGGAACAACATAAACTGGTGAAATAGCTTTTAACACATAAAATGATATTCAAGCATTTTAAGGTAGAAATGACGTGCTCATTTAATACCATCTTAGTTCTCCATATTCTTTTAAATATTCTTTCTAAGAGTGTGTTCAAACAATTATACCAAATATTTTCTCTTCCATGATAATTTCATAAGAATATTTAGATGTCAGAAAGATATCTCACTATTATCTATAGTTTCTCGTTCCATTTGAAAGAGATTTGGTAACGATTTCTCTCTCAATTGACCCTAAGCAGTTGCACAGTATACTTTGCTCTATAATTCCTTTAGGAGGAAAGTTGGTTAAGCTTTGGATTTACCCAGGAACTTTTGTTGATTTTTTCTTGGTTTGCGATGTACAGCTGTATTGAATCCTAGCTTTGTACTAATGAAATTGTTCTTTCATTAAGCACATTTAATATTATGTTCTAAGCCTTGCAGATCCAGCCTTGCTAAAGTAATGGATTTTGCAATCGATTTCGTCAGAATATTGATAATGTTTTTAAAATTACTTGAAAACTTATTCGTTATCTATTTTGCCATTTCTGGAAGGATGAATCGCTGTTGTTGTTGTTGGTAAAGTGCAGCTAAAAAGGAATTATTTGCCATGAGACAGGTCATAGAAAGATGCAAAATACAACTTTTGAAGCAAAGCATCCTAGAGAGGTTATTCGTTGTTTTTCATCTTCGTGACCTGTTATTAGAATCAGAAAAAACCCTTTTACTAAGGACTGTAATAGCGACAGTTGGTTAGCGCTTTCAGTTCGTTTTCAAGCTAACGGTAGTATTCAAGAGTTTGATGGTTCCAATTTTTTGTACGATGAAAGTGGCGTTACCTGACGAGTTTTTAGCAGTCTTATGTACGTGCTTCCTGGTGTTGTGGTAATTGCCTAACGCGTCATTTATTTTTCATGGTGCACATAGATTTTGGAAGATTGCTGGATTAATAACGCTGTGTTATAACTAGAATAGTTCTTTAAAGGGAATGGTTTGAATTTGAATAGCTGTTATGAAAATGTCAAGTGTCATTGCCAGCTTTAAATCTCCTAGCATTTCTAAGCACATTTACTCGACTTAATTTCAACTTAGTTAATCATTATTATTTTACTAGCACAAACACCACGCCTTTTTCTTACCTCAAATTCAAAGTTTCTCCTTTACTCTCTTCTGCCAAGACTCATTAAATATTTTGAGCTTTTTTCTAGGCGAAGGTAATTATTAGAAGCTCGATCATTTTGCTTTTGAATAGAAAACAGAAGCCATCCACGTCCAATTTGTCACACATAATTGGTGTGGATTCACCTTAACCTCGCATAAAAACTGTTTAAGTATAATAGGTTTTTTGTTCAATACACAATATACGATTCAATGTATCATTTAAAGATGTAAGGTCTTTTGAAAATTGTCAACTAGTTAACCACTCAAGCTGAGAAGAGCTCCTAATCATACAAGGTGCTCTGGGTTTATTCTTCACAATCGATCAGTTCCGTGTATTGTTTTTTAATTACTATAATAAGTTTAACCTAAGCCTGATACGAGCTCTTCAAAGAGCCAGACGCGTGTTATGAAGCTCTGGTGATAAGGCATATATATAGCGAGATAACGTTTTCCTGGTTTTGTTCTCGACGTATCACCATAAAAGTCCTAACACGAACATTTAAACGAACAAGACTGTTATGGGAGAAAGCTGCGAATGGACAAATTTGACAATCAGAGAAATTATTGCTTAAATATTCACGAAGAGGCATTGCTGGTTATCTGTATTCTGATTACTAGAATCACAAAACAGTTCTTCGGTCTTGCATGAAGCCCTTTGAAATCGATCCATATTGTCGCCGTATCGAACTGGTGAAGCGGATCATTATCTGAATCCAAGCGTTTACGGTGTCGCGCCAAAGCACACAAATTGCAACACATTTTCTGAAGCTAACGGATTCCAAAGTGACGGTTTTTTGAGTCGGGTCAAATAAGGTTGACTTTTTCTTGTACAACATTTTGCTCGTCAGTAGTCGTCAATTCTAGAGAAAAGGCTTTTAAGAGAAAACGTCTCTCGAGAAAAGCCAACAGGAGCATTTAATTTATTGTATGCTCGTTTTAGGGGACTAATCTCATTTCCATTTACCACTGCGAAATAACTATAATCGCGTTTCGCTAATCTGGGCTTTCAATCATAAATCTGAAGTCAACGAGAAACTTTAACATTTCAAGATAATATGATTAGACAAGAGAAAATATCCTGAAATTTAGGCCGACAAAGCTAAATCCAAAAGCGATGTCTTGGTGGTGTTGTTCAGTCGTCATCAGTAAGTTCACTTAGAAAATTTGAATCAACAAAGCGTTTGTCAGTTACTTCATAACATCTGCCCAGTCAACAACTTGTCAATGGTTCTATGAGAAAATTTGTATAACCAATGAACAAGCCTACTTACTGGAGCTCAATGACATATTGCTCGCATATTTTTAAGTATTCATCAACTGCAATGCTCGAAAAGGCCGTCTTATTCTTTTAAGCTGGGACATCCCTGTGATTTATCAAACACGTAATGAAATTTTCATCAAATATTGATATGATTAAATGATCAATTTTTTGTATAAATCTGTTCTATTATTTGACTATTTGTTTTGTCTAGCAGCAGTACTATTAATTTTGTTATCAAGCACCAGAAAGGACCTTTAATTGTTTTTGTGGTGTCAAAATTTCTATCTAAATTCATTGTTTCTAGTCATGTTTACCTCTTTGCAAATACAATTTTGCATTTTATATTTTTTGTTTTCTGAGCAATTCATTCCAAGTTGAATTTGAACACCAGAATTTTCTTTTGCATTTCTAAACATCAATTTTCCTTGCTTTTATTCAGAACCATCAGTTGCGATTTATTTTGGGAAAATGTCTATTTTTTTGTGTTCGATTGAAACAGTTAAGATTTGGAATTATTTATGCTTATGAAAAAGAATATAAGGAAAGATTTGCCACAATTGATTTGATTTATTGAGTTTATTCAAGATTTGATTTATTCAGTAGCCAAACGTCTCACAACCAAATTGTTAATAACGATAAATTAGTATTTTATTGTCATTTATTTTTCAGATTGTCCAAATTTGGAAGCAGATGACCAAATCAGTTTCGCTTAAGCTTTTACCTGGAAGATCTAAGTGACGTGCAGATCCAGGAAGAACGCTGCTGGCAGTTCGTCTCGTGCAAACGATATTTGTAGGAAAAATTGCTGCAGAAATTTACGATGACACCAGTTTGTGGAAAAAACTGTTGGATTCAATTTTATTTGTTTTTGTGTATGATAAACTTTGTAGTTGGAAAATGTCCTGACAAGTGTCGCTGCGGAAATGATGACTTGCGCTTTGTCTCTTGCGAATGGCTGGGACTTACAAAAGTGCCAGATGACCTACCCCATGAAGTGGAGCACCTTTCTTTAGATGGAAACGAAATCAAGGTTATAAAGCAACTCGACTTCAAAAATTTCACGAAGCTGCAGATTTTGAGCTTGGAAAGAAATGCAATCGAAACCATAGAGAAAGGTGCATTTGATCTTCTTACACATCTAACGTCATTGTCACTTGCTGGAAATAGCCTCCGTGCCCTACCGGCTCATGCCTTTTCAATTTTATCGTTGTCCGAGCTGTCTTTGGAGTTCAACGAAATCAGTGAACTGCCTCGCGGAATTTTTTCATCCTTGAAAAATTTGAAAATGATTTTCTTGAAAGGTAACCGTTTATCAACATTGCCTGCTGAGACATTCACTGGCCTGCGGAAACTTGAAAAGATTGAGCTCAGTCGCAACGCCATCAGAAGAATCAAGGGCACAGAATTCGTTGGCCTTTCGTCCTTGATTTGGCTGGACCTAAGCAGTAATAATATTTCTTCTATGGGAGCCAGTACATTCTCAAGCTTGAAATCCCTTGCTAGATTGCATCTGGATAACAACATGCTAGAAACTCTCCCAAGTTCTTTATTTAAAAATAACAAAAAACTTACCCTATTCACAATCCATAAAAACAAACTTGTGTGTAACTGTAAACTGCGTTGGCTTCGCAACATGCTCAGAGACAGGAGAATCCTAGTGCCAAGCTTCCACGAAATCATTTGTAAAGGACCAAAAGTTTTACGGGGAGTTCCTTTGGATCGCTTGAGTTTTAAAGAAATGAGTTGTTTAGATAATGGGTGGAGTAGCTGGAGCACGTGGAGTATTTGTAATACCCATTGTGGAGGAGGATTGCGTTACCGAGAACGTCACTGTCATAAAGATAGGTCGGATGTTCGATTTGGTTGTGCGGGAACAAATTTGAAACCGAAAACTGCAATACACACCCATGCCCATTGTTTCAGCTGACACAGTGGTCGGAGTGGAGCCCATGTTCGCTATCATGTGGTTACGGGTTGTCGACAAGGTTCCGTCAGTGCATAAACTTTTTTACAGGTAAAGAGAGCAAGCTTTGCCTCGAAAGCCGCAAGGACACCAAACCTTGTCATATTAAACCGTGTAGAATTGACGGTGGATGGTCGCAATGGTCGCTGTGGTCGCCCTGCTCGCGAACCTGCGGAATATCTGTAAAACGTCGCAAGCGTTCCTGTACAAACCCTGTCCCTCAGAACGGTGGCGCGCAGTGCGACGGAGGATTTTCTCAGTCTCAAAACAGATTTTGTTGGGGAAAAGATTGTGTGAGAAATCGAACATGGACGAACTGGTCTGTGTTCTCTCCTTGTTCTGCTAGCTGCGGGCAGGGTGAAAGAATCAGGCGGCGGTTCTGCATCAATGATCTTCGAGAAGCAGTGGAAGGTTGCAAAGGCAACAACACCGATGTAGTGAATTGCACGGCAGGTTCCTGTCCAATAGACGGAGGCTGGTCGTCTTGGTCTGTTTGGTCACGATGTCATCCGATCTTCTGCAAAAAAGTACGTACACGAAACTGCAGTGAACCAAAGCCTTCTTACGGTGGAAAGTTTTGCAAAGGACAGTTTTCTGATCATGGGAATTGCGATCCACAAGAATGCTATATTTATTCTCAATGGAGCGCATGGGGCCCTTGGTCAGACTGCAATAAATCGTGTAATGGTGGATATCGGACGAGACATCGAAAATGCCATTGGAGTGACGAGGAAACTATAGACATTAATGGAGGAGAAAAGACCCTGAAAGTCACCAGGAGCAGAAATAAACGACAAATTCGTATTACCTGCGGTGCCGATAGAACGGAAAAGGAGGAATGCAACACCGTTTCATGTTCGTCTGGGGTTGGTACTGTCTGGGGTGCATGGGGCCGCTGGTCTTCTTGCAGAGGAGGATGCAACGGTAAGCAAACTCGCAAGCGTACTTGTGTTTTTCCCACAATAAGGGGGGGTTTGCAGTACTGTGAAGGTCACAGCAAAGAGGACAGGAAATGTCAATTGAGGGACTGTCAGAACAATGCAAAGGAGACAGTCTTGTCACTAGGAGCAAATTACCCGTGCGCCGGTAGTGGAAAACTAGAGAATGGTTACGAAAAAATATCGAGAAATGGGACTGTAGTGACTGCAGAATACTCGTGCAAAAAATATTATAAACTTCGTGGTCAAAGAAAAAGGACTTGCACTCCCGTTACTGGATGGTCTCCTTCATTCAGGCCTCAGTGTGTGCCGATTTGTGGGAAGCGTACGAGTTTGTCTTACGAGCGTGCAAGAATTATCGGGGGTACCGATGTAGTACGTGGGATGTGGCCCTGGCAGGTGCTTATAGAGAGCCTTTTCCAAAGAGAGGGTGATCCGCGACCAGCATGGAGGACGCGTTGTGGCGGAAGTCTTATCAACGACGAATGGGTTGTAACTGCCAGCCACTGCTTGTATGAAAAGATTTCAAACAAATCCGAACGCCTTATTGCACCTGCCGATCACATCCTTTACTTTGGAGTTCACAGTAAACACAACCGGAAAACGGACAGACTTGTGCAGAAAATCGAAGTGGAGCAAATATTTGTGCATCCTGAATTTACCAGTTACGACTTGAATAATGATATTGCCTTGATTAAGTTAAAGAAGAAAGTCCGGTTCACACACTATATCAGACCAGTGTGTTTACCAAACAAGGATTATAGAAAACAAGGTGCATTGCTAGCCAAGCGTGGTTATGCTGTTGGTTGGGGTTTAACCCTCAAAGGGGAAGCAGACATAATACAAGAACTCACACTCCCTGTTGTTAGCAAAACGGAATGCAAAAAGGCCCACTTTGAATACAATGTCACTGAAAGTATGTTCTGTGCAGGTCGAAAGAGAAGTTACTTTGATACATGCAAGGGTGACAGTGGAGGAGGTTTCTTGTTCTGGGATCAAAATCGTAAGAAATGGATGGTCCAAGGAGTAATAAGCTGGGGAGGAAGGAGTTGTGGCGAAGCTGGCAAATTCAGTGTGTACGCCAAAGTTGCAAGGTTTACTAGATGGATCAAAAGAATGATACGAAAAAACAGCTCAGGAGTCGTGCTGTAGTAGACCGGTAGCATTTCTTATTTTTTCAGCAAAAATCGCAAAGGAAGAGGTTTTCCAAGTAATGCGCATAGAGCCTCGGTCGTAAAGGACAGCATGAAATTGAGTCAGTAAAGATCGCCAGAACGATAGTATTTCACGATTGGTGTGTAGCGGCGTGTGTTTTTATGCAGTTGAATGTTAACAATCAACTTTTTGAGACGTGTGTTCATTCATAAAAAATCTTTGACCTACAGGCAATTCTACCAATAACACTGAACATAAAACATTTCCTGATTAACGATTGCTGAAGGATTTTCACTTAAGCAATTAATTAGCGAAACGGATCTTTTTGAGACACAACTGAATATCTTTAAAGCTAATTTATAGGAATTTATGTTATACTGTTTGTGAATGTCAAAAATTGGTTTGAAACTTGATTACGGTTAATATGTAATTAAGTCTGCACGAAACATGTTTGTTTAAAGCTCTTTTTACCATGTAAAATAGTTATATGTATGTTTTATCATTGATCATTTTTAAGTTAGCCTGTGCCAACATGTGTTAGTGAATATAGTTTGCTTTGCTCGTTTAAAGAGCCAAGCTTACGGTTTTTAAAGTACTAAAAACCATGTTGGATCATACAATACAGTTTTTGAATTGCTATGCATCATTTTATATTTCAGATAACAGTTCCCACCTTAACATGCCAATTATAACATCGCAATAAACTTCCATGAGGAACTTCCATGAGGAACTTCCATCGAGTTGTCTTGTACTAAAGAGCAGAATGTGGTTTTAGCCTGCGATATTTTACATAAAGTATGAAAAGTTAGAACATATAGAGCATTTCACAATAGTTTAGGCAAAGGCGTTTAGTAAACTGGAGAAAGCAGTAAACTTAAACATGTGGAAAATCTTTGCTATATGTAGGGGAGTTTTGAATAGTTTTTGTAACTCCACTTTTTCAGCCTCCAGTCTCCAAATTAGTAAGCCTCTCGAAGGTTTATAAAAGGTTTCTTTGAATATAGCTGTGCTCAAAGTAAAATCGTTTGTCATTTTTCAAGTATCCCTCAAACATGCGCATAGGATGTCGTAGACTCAGTCGTAAAAACTATCACTATGACAATCACACTTTTGAAGAATTGTTTAGTGATGAAGTTATACTGTAGGCAAGGGTATGAACAACTTTGGCTTATCCCAGATTAATTAATTTTATCTTCCTTTGCAATATCGTAGTATTGTTTGAGTTTAGATTTGTTGCCAGCAATGTTCTCATTCATTTGCGTCCCTTTTTCTTAGTACATACCTTTAGTCGATCTTTGTAGACCTATTGTCGTTTCATAGCAGTACATTGAAATATTAAAAACACCTTTAATTTACCCCTAGCCATTGTATAGGCATATCCTAGGTAGCATTGACACTATTTAGGTGCTGTTACGTTGGTAGCTCTCATTAAGACCTTTTCTGGGCCTATCCTTCTGTTTGAATTATTTGTTGTTAATCCGCCCCTTTCCCCTTTATATTTCCTATTCTGTGCATTGGATATTTTGCTTTTGACAGTCGTTAAGAATCTTCATAAGTTTTGTTTGGAATTGTGATATCCAAATATCCACTGCTTTCTCGTTCATAAGTTATCTTCCCGAGCTCGCCCATCCCAAGCTACAACGCACTCCCCCTGTGCCCCATTGCTTCCCCTCCTTTGCTCTCTTAGATACCAAACCCTATCTATTTCGTTCTTTTTTAGTAGCTAGCTGGCAGTTTTTATCAAGAATTCATATTGAAATTATTGTGTCTTTAGAAAGAGTCTTTGAGGTAATAATCCAAGTAATGTATGTATTTGAAAATTGTAAATAAAGAAATCATTATATAATATTAGTGTTTGGTTTGTAATTTTAAGTTTTTTTGAGGTACCTTAAAAGTTGTGTTTTTCCTTGCTTGCATATTTTACACGAAAATGTTTGCATAGAGTTTCTAAGCAAATATTGATCAATTTGTTATTCCAAATGCCAAATCTGTGAGAGGAAACAATTTCTGATTTTTTGTTTGGCTATTGCTCGTCATACATTACTAACCAATTCTATTAACTTACTTCTTACTATCCCTTTATACAAACCTTAATGCCGGAAAAAAAGGCTATCAAATGCTTTCAACCTATACCACTCTCGAGCCAATAACCCCTTTGGCCGAGACCCCTTCTAAGCTTATAACCCCTTTTACTCGTTGTGTCGTAACGCTTTAAACAGAAAATATTTGTTAGTCATTTGCAATTAGCTTAAGATAACACTTTGCAGTGGAATCTTATTTCCAAAAAAAATTTCTCCACAATCATTATTTCTTTATTTTAAACCTTTCTTAAATCCGAGAAGCCTTCATTACAAAAATTTTCTTGGGACCCATAATAACTTAAACTTTTTCTATAGATTTCAAGATAAGACACTTTCTCGCTTTCAAATTGCTGTTAGCTATTCTCTGTTAAAGTGAATAGCGTGTTTTAAATGCTTTTGTAGTGTAAATGGATTGCTATATTTGCCTAGATGAATATTTAGAAAGTAGAACAAGGGTGATTATATATAGTATCATGGATATAAGAGAAAAATAGAAAACAGCGATAGATGGTACATGGGAAAAATCCCCAAGAATCTAGAATATTGCAATAAAAACAGTGACAGAAACGTAAATGCAGCGGAAATTTCAAATGCTTCATCTATTAATGCTAGAAATCAATTTATACAATGGAGATAGAATAGTATGCATTGTAAAAAGATCTGACAGACGCGATAACATATATTGATTAATAATAGATATACAGTTTATCATAGGAAGTAGCTTTGGCTATCTTCTATTGCCAAGAAAGTGATGCACAGAAAAATCGGTACCAGAAATGAATGATGAAATTCGCCACAGCTTATGTGAAAGTCATCTTACATCTACGGCAAAATAAGTCAAAATAACAGGCTATAAAACAAAAAGATACAAAGTAAGATGACAATTGAAAAGACAAAGAGTAGCACATATAGATGAGCCCAAATGGTAAGGCAAGTTTGCTTTATCTTAAATATTCTTTAAGCTCAAAGTAAACTTAAAGAAATCCGGATTTTTTAAAGGAAACCATGATTTTAAACTTCTAAGTGGAATTTCTGTGACCTTTTTTACTGCCTTTTGGTTATTTTTAAAAAAATCTCATTCTTAATTTATTAAACTTTGTCAGATATTTCTGATAGATGTTTCAAATTTCAAGCATACCTATGACTCGTATTGTAAAAAACCGAAGTTGGTCTGATAACTGGAAGATCTAGTGGTGCTTTTAGACAACTTTTTTAATCTTTGATAGTTTTCGTCAAAGGAAGGAGTCTAGTAGGTCAGTGTTTCCGTCGGATATTTTCTTCAACATATTGTGCAGAAGATGCTCGAAAACAAGAAAATCTTAGTTTTTTATAAAAAGGTTATTCAAAATAATAATTTTTCTTTAAGTCATTTTTAAACGCTGCTTCAACAAACTTTAGATGAAAGGAGTATATCTTATTGTGAAATTTAGATCTCTAGAACAATTATACGAACTTCAAATTTATTTCGAGCATTTAGAGAAGTTGCTGGTTAGCTCTACTTTGCTTTTACCCAGAATAAGTCAGAATCTTGGTCAGAAATACGTTCTTACTTGAAATGTTGCCATACTGGGCCCTGGACTTTCGATCGATATTTTTCTATTTGAAAAATTTTCATTATAGCAGATTTTCATCAACATGGGCCTCTTCTGCTGATTGGTAGAGAAGCTCTTAGATTAGAAAATGTTCTTCAGACAGAAAAATGAAAGAAGCTTAAAAGCCTAAGTGGAAAATTTTGATGTAGCAGTTAGCCAGAAAAATATATTTTAATGTGAAATATTTTTCGAAAATTTCAGCAAGCAGTTTACTTTCTTCACAAGTCAGGAAAGAAGATGAACCTACAGAACGGAGGTATAGTGGACCCAAACTGAACCTCTTGCCAAAAGCTGTTGACATTTGGCAAAATGGCAGCGAGGAGAGCACTTATAAATTTTCAAGGTATATTTATGACAAATTATGTTGCTTTCAGCTCATTTCCGAGAGATTTTATAGAAAGTTTAAGACATCTGCTTCAGATTTTCAAATTTTTATTCTTCCATGATAAAATTTGCATCACATTTCATTGGCTAAATTAGACATGATGTTGATTGGCAGCATGACATGCCTTCAATCAATACCTCTCTATTAAATTTGTACCCCATCGTTCTAAAGAATTTTTGTGCCCCTTCGCTCTCTTTACAATCGTTTTTTCCAAGAAATCTATCGTTGTTCTTACCCAGAATACTTCAATGCTGCTAAACTATTTGCAATTGATTACTTCTTTATTTATTAATTTCTGCTTCTATCTCTTTTATATTGTCGTTTGGTCTATGCATCTTTTCAATCAGCATGCTAGATGGTTTGTAGAAGTTCGCCAATTGAATTGATTTTACTAGTAAAGATTACCGTTTACCGAACTGTCAAACTGTGTTCAATGTCGTAAACGTTTCAAGTGCTACTCTGTGACAAGATCATCAGGCAACTCTGCAAAACAGAACAGATTATACTAAAAAGCGTTTTGCAACATTTGCAATATGAAACATAAAAAAGGTAAGGTATGTAAACTCAGAAAAATATCAACAGAGCAGGGGATAGAGCGATGAGTGAAGTAACTTTAGTTGCAAAAAGGAGCTGAGTAGCTAGAATATTCTGCTGGAACAGAAATTATTGGAAAGCACATCAAAGCCATAAGAAGCCTGTTTTGAATTGAATTTAGTAGAAGAAGATAATACCTAAGTTAATTTAAAATTCCAGCGAGTACAGTTCAGAAATTAAGTGTATTACATGCATTTCTCAGGTGACAACAAAGATAAAATTTATCTGCAGCCTTTGGTGCTTTGACTGAAAATTTACCTATTTTTGAAAATCAAGCATATTTTATTTTTGTTAATTCTAAATAAATTTACAGACAACAGGATTTCGAAGATAATTAATAGAGAGTGCGGGAAAATAACCGACCCGAGCGAGGCTCGAACTCACGACCCCTGACTTTGTACGTCAAGTGCTCTTCAGGTCCTCTGCACTTTGTGATGGAGCTGCGATGGCTCCCCTGTGTATCTGGTAAAAGAGAGGGGCAGTGCGGGTGAATGACTCGGCCTTGGGTGTTGGCTTGAAAGCACGACCCGATAGCTCATCGGTAGAGCTCTAAATAAATTGTTTAAATCGGTAGAAATGCAATAAAACTTGTTTAAAACATATTATGAACAGTCTAAACTTTTGCATTGAAAATCCAGGTTTTGTAAAAATTGTGACTGCTACATTTTCAGGATTAATTTCAAAAAATCTATGAAGGTTAAAATTGGTTGCCTTAAAGTTGGTTATAAGGCACTAAAATCAGTATGCATTGTTAAATACTTAGTCAACAAGTTTGATATCCAAAATTAAGATTTCTCGCTAGTCTAAGCTACTTCACATACACATGTAAATTTTTACAATGACAAACATTTTCTTCATTTTCCTTAAAAGATATTTTTCGTTTCAAGAAAATTTACTGTAACGTATTATAGTTTGTTCATTCTATATATTGATTAGGTTCTCGCACATTTTACTACGAAACAAATTATTCGAGTTTTAAATAACTTATTTTTTCGCTATCAAAATTTTTCCTGTTGAAATTCTAGAACTGCTCAAATCACCATCAAACGAATCAACTGACGAATAGGCCACTGATTGTCTGAATGGCTAAAGTGTAAGTAAATCATGTTTTCTGTCACTGGCTTTTTGGGCCGAAGGTTTTTATGAGACCCCGTGTGTTGTATGACGCATAATATTTCAGTAGCTTGGTAACTTTAATTTGTTCATAAACCATAATTAAAAAGAACACAAATACGATCATTTTTTTTTTTAAAATAGGGATTCGAATATTCAAAGATATTCAATTTAAAGAGTTTTTAAGAAAAATATTCAGCATAAAAATATTCAAAGAGTTTTTTTCTTGAATCTCTCGATATTATCTAAGTTAAGTACATTACAAGCGTTTCATTGATATTCTTTCTTTGTTTGCAAACTGTATCATGAATTCATTCTCACAAATGTTCATCCTGCCAGTGCGACATTTTGTTAAAGGAAATGTCGTATTATCTACTTTTTCTAATTTTTTTCTTAACTTTCACCCAGGCTACCGATTACTTTCACCATTCCCTTGCTCCATTCCCAGATCTTTCCTTCTCCATTACATCACATTGCTTCATCATTACATAATTCCCACACATCTTTACTCACCGCTCTATTTAAAGCACTTTAATTAATATGTTACTTGTAAAAGTATATAATTTGTAAGTAAGTTGAGTTCAGATTAGAGTTCAAAAGAGTTCAACAGTAATCTCAACTCGACACTCTAGCTCCGAGTACTCTGTACGTAGGTAAGACGTTCGATGACAAGGAGAGTCAATGGCAGTTGAGACACACAGCTTAAATTAGTAAACCATCGTTCCTAAAGTCTCACAAGGTGCCCTAGAAAATTCCATCTTCTTTTTTTCCCAATATATAGGCAATACTTCAAGAGTACTTATAGTTGTTTCGTCAAAATTATCTATTGGCAATTGATGGATCAATAGATTCTTCTCTGAAAAGATTTGATTTGATTGTTTCGATTCTTCAATAAATTCAAAATTTCGCTCTTTTTGAACAATTTACTTTCTCTCAAGGTCTTCAATATTTTGAACTTCGCTCCTGCATCAACTGTTCTATTTGTCTAGAATTTTTAGGAATGATATAGCAGTTATTGGTTAGTGATTTCCGTCTCCTGAAATCTTCTTTCGTGGCTAGTAGTGTATCAATATATTTCACTTCCTTCAGGTTTCATCTCCTACACAACTAACACTGAATTTTTTTGTTTTTTATCGTTGATTATCATACTTCTTTCCTATCAATTACGTATTATCTTTTGGTGATATTCTATATAAGCTGATTTTGAAAAGTATGTGATTTGACAAGTAATGATGATAA